CCCCCCCCAAAAAATTCCTCCCGCTGGGATGGGGAGCCCACACTGTCGGGAAATATTCAGGAGCTTTGTAAAAAGTGCTCCGGAAAAAACATCGCCTTCCTCCGCCACCGGCAGCACCCGAGTCCCCAGCGTGCATGGGGAGACCCTAAAAGCCGGGATCCATCACCGACCCCGCTCCGGCAGCCGTGCCTCGGCCGGGGACACAACGCCAGGACAGGGGGACACCCCGCTGGGTGGGATCCCACGCTGACGCCCGCGCTGGCACCCCGCACACACAGACGCGGGCAAGGGACGCTTCCCTGCTCGGTGACACAGCTTCCTTACCCCGTCCCCAGGGACGCTGGTGCTGTGTTTGTGGCCACCAATTGCCAGGCAAGGGATGCCGTGTGTCACACAGCCCTGTGTCACACCGCCGCTGAGGGACCTTACACGCACGCTGGCACTGGTGGGGACTGGGGGCACCCGGAGCCAGTGCTCCCACCCTCGTCCCCTCTGTGGCCACCCCAGCTCTGCCCCCCAGCATCCCCCCTGGAGCTGCACCTCAGGGATGTGGCTAAAGCATCCTCCCGGGGGCCAGCACCCCACGACTGGGGCCAGCACCTAGGGCCACCACATCCTCCCAAGGGCAAGAACTCCAGGAGCAGGGCCAGCACCCCGGGGCCAGTCCATCCTCCTGGGGCCAGCGCATCTTCCCGGGGGTAAGAACTCCAGGACCGGGGCCAGTGTATAATCTCCCACGGCCAGCACCCCAGGACCCGGGGCCAGCACACTCCCAGGGGGCCAGTGCATCCTCCCGAGGGCCAGCGCATCTTCCCGAGGGGCAAGAACTCTTAGGAGCGGGGCCAGCACCCCGGCCAGTGAATATCCTCCTGGGACTAGCACCCCACCAACAGGACCAGGACACAGGGCCAGCGCATCCTCCCGGGGCCAAGAACTCCAGGAGTGGGGCTAGTGCATAACCTCCCGGGGGCCAGCAACCCAGGAAAGGGGCCAACACCTGGGGCCAGTGCATAACCTCCCGGGGCTAGCACCCCAGAACTGGGGCCAGCACCCGGGGCCAGTGCATCCTCCTGGGGGGCAACAACTCCAGGAGCGGTGCCAGCACCCCGGGGCTAGTGAATATCCTCCCGGGGCTAGCACCCCACCAACAGGACCAGCACCCGGGGCCAGCACATCCTTCCGGGGGCCAGCACCCCAGGAGCGGGGCCAGTACCCGGGGCCAGTGCATAACCTCCCGGGGCTAGCACCCCAGGACTGGGGCCAGCACCCGGGGCCAGCGCATCCTCCCGGGGGCCAGCGCATCCTTCCCGGGGG